CATCCTGGGGTCACGTGATCACTTTTTGCAATCTTCTGACAAGCAAATCAATGGGGAAGCCAGATTCATGTTAACAATTGTGTTACTAACTTATCAACCACAGCGATTCACTTAATGATGGCAAGAAAGATTGCAAAATGGGGCAAAACTCCCTTAACAAATATCTCACTGAGCAACAGAAATTTTGGTCTCAATTGGGGTTGTGAGTTGAGGACTACCTGTATTACAGAAATTAAAGGGCCACAAAGACTAAGTGAGAACAACAGATGTTAATAACAATGGAGCACACCTCCCAGGACTGATGTCATTACAAGGTCTTGAAAAACTTCCAGAAAGCCAACAGGGATAGAGCCAATCACACTTTGGAGGGGGGAATGGGAGAGGAGAATGTTCTGTAAGATAGGCACCATAGCAGAGAAGATCTGCCTTCTGGGGTTGGCCAAATGTAGCTCTCTAGCAAATGGGACCAGTAGTATGTTTTTTTTCCTGCTGGTTCTAAACCTATAAATAGAATATTTAGATGGAATAAATATTGAGCCTGTGAAGAAAGTCTTCTCTTATATTCTTTTCCAGAGGCAAGTTAAAACAAAAATAAAATAATTCCCAGAAGTGGAATGTTTTAAAAGCTATTTGTCAGCAAATTGGTAATAATAAGAGACAAGGACTTTGCAAACAAGACTAGTCAACACATAACTGAATTCTGAGCTGCCTTAAGTTAAATGTTCAATGGCAACTGTGCAACATCTGTAGAATAAAAAATGTTCAAGATGGATACAGAATAACTACCTATTTGCCACTCCCGGTTTTGGAACTTTTACCTTGTTCAACCAAGAACTAGACAGTTGTATGATCTATTTTCCCTTATCTGATTAAGCATAATCAATCTGATGAACACTAACACTGGCTTCATTCTTCATTTTAAACTGACAGGTCTATTTAAATCCCTAAAGACATGCATTAAGCCTTTATATTCCCTGCCTTTAAGAAGGATAGCCCATCTGTTGTCCACTTGGTTTTTTAGGCATTATTAGTAAGGCAGGCATTTTGCTGGGAATATTTATGCAGATAAACAGGTGGACTTCAGGTCAGACTCCCCAAATTAAATTATTAGTTTTACACCTGTTTCGGGGCAAATGTAAACAAAAAATTAAAAAAAATTGGGCTTTCCTGTAGTATTGATTCTCTTTCAAGGGAAAATCTTTTGTAAAATTTAACACGTCTTCAATAGATCATCAATATTCTCTCTCTCTCTCTCTCTCTCTCTCTCTCTCTCTCTCTCTCTCTCTCTCTCT